CCCTAACTTGCTCAAGAAATAACGTGTAGAACAAGGATGGAGGATGGGGACTAGACATAGAAGGGAGCAGCACCATGTTTTGTACGGCTCTCTCATATGTAGCACTGAGATTGATGGGTGAAGAAATGGACGGTGGAGATGGAGCCATGGAAACAGCTAGAGGTTGGATTCACCACCGCGGTGGCGCCACTTTTGTGTCTTCTTTGGGCAAGCTCTGGCTCTCAGTACGTTTAACAACAAACACTATCTTGTTTTGCCACGAAACAATCGTTTGATGAAATTTGTGAGGTCATGACTGAAACAGGTTCTTGGTGTTTATGAATGGAGTGGGAACAATCCTTTACCTCCAGAGCTATGGCTTCTTCCTTATTCTCTTCCATTTCATCCAGGCCGAATGTGGTGCCATTGCAGGATGATTATTCTTCCAATGTCATATCTATACGGGAAAAGGTTTGTTTGTCGCATCAATGAAACTATCGTGTCCCTTCGACGAGAGCTCTACACTGTTCCTTATCACCATATCGATTGGGAAACCGCTCGTAATCAATGCGCCAAGGTAGAAAACCAAAATTTTTTTTAACTGTTTGTAATTAGATTTTGGTGCATTAATTTATACATAAATGCAGGAGGACTTGTACTATCCGCATCCAAAGATTCTAGACTTTCTGTGGAGTTGTTTGAAGAAATTGGAAGAGACTCTTATTGGGAGATGGCCATTTTCTAAGTTGAGAGACAGGGCTCTTCAGACAGTGATGCAGCACATTCACTATGAAGACCAAAGCAGCCATTATATTTGTATCGGTCCTGTCAACAAGGTAGGTTTTGTAGATATAGCTTTGTCTCAATGATATAAAGCTATTGCCTTGATTACTTACTATATTTGCTGAGAGACAATGCTGCGTTGTTATTGGATTTAAGAGCATGATTATCAATAGGTAATATAGTAGGTAAATAACAATTTAATCAATTTAATTAAATCAAAATTCATATTTACTATCCACTAAAGTTCTAAATATAGGATCTATATTTACATTAAATATACA